TGGTCAAAATTGATTGCAAGCTTTGAAGTGTACAAGCGCGATTGATCGAAATGACTTCACAATAAAAAAAAAAAACAACAACAAAAAAAAAAACAAAACAAAACTCCACCCTCAGATAATTTTTGATAACACATTAAAAATTAACTCATAGGCTTGAAATGTAAATACCAAAATAACTCTGTTAATACCAGGGGCTATTGGTTCCCATGGGAATTCCAACAGACCAGCGCGGCTTGGATAAGGCTGTCCCTTATATATCAAACCGTTTCATCTGTAGTCACTTATCTGAACTACCTAGATATGACTTTATAATAGCATATGACGTCAAGTCCCTGCATATTTGAGCTGACATGACAGGGAAAGTGTCATAACCTATACACATGTAGATTTCTTTTGGTGTTATTGTTTAATTCATGTGTCTGGATTGTTCTTTAAGCTCCAATGTGCTGTTATGATGTTGAACATTTGCAATTTAATATCGTTATTCCTTTCGCTTGTCCGATATGCACATATGATATATCACATAAAAAAATGCGATGTGAAACGCTCCCCCTTACACGTCTGTAAACAGAGTAAGAACTTATGAATCGTGTATATATCTGACTGATACAAGTGATTAATAACGATAAATTGAATTTATTCTGTGTGAATCTTCTAGCGAAGTATGTCTTCTAATTGAATTTTGCTGGGGGGGGGGGATTGCATTTAATTTATGTTATTTTGTATAAATTACGATAAAAAGTGGAAAATAAGACCTTTGTATGTGGGTAAGTTGAATTTCTCGTGAAATGTTTTCTTAAGAAGTAGATATGTACCAAAGATCACGATGAATGTATTTATGTAACTCACTTTTCACAATAATTTTGTTTTGCACTTGTGCCGATGCGATTTTTGTGCAACATTTAGGAATTCACAATTGTCCGTAACGTGATCAAGAAAGTCCTGTGACATCACAAAAATTCGTTATTATAATAACTGATAAAACTCTCATCACAAGTTAACTAAAAATGCATACATAGATAACATATTTAAATTAAAATCTAGCTCAAAATAAAATGTATATTTTTAATGCATGTTTAGCCCTCGGACAGCCTTAACATAGCTCCGAGATCGATCTCCAAAAACTATATAGATACTGTCAATCAGAAACTCAAGCATCTTTTTAATATCAACTTCAAAGTACTTGTTAGTACTATCAGGCTATTTTTCAACAAAATAATTTTGCAAATGATCAATGACAAGGTAAGTATTTTTGCAAGTTCCATTTAAAAAAAAAAAAAAAAAAAAAAAAAAAAAAAAAATCTGTTTGTGATGTCATAAGCCTGGACTTCAATTTAACCTGGGGAATGGTTGTATAAAGTGTTGAAAAGTTGTACGTTATGATGTTATTGATTTTGGTAAAATATTAGGATTTCGGGTTTTCCAAACATTCCTTAGAATTAAAGTATCAACATCTGATTTACACCATTTCTAAAATATACTGTTGTACATTACTCCTGAAGTTTGTTTTTCCCTGCTATAAATATTTAGTGAGGAGAAAAGAAAGGGGCTTGGTAGAACATTTACTGGAAACCGCTATGTATCTTTGTTTGTAAGGATTTTTACTGAGTTTTAGAATCCAGTATAGATATGGTAATTCAAATTCAAATGGAATGTTGGGAATATTAAAACTATTTTAAGCCAGACATATGGTTAGGAAGAAAATATCTGGTGAACAGCAATTTAATTGATTGGAATGATTTAAACGTGCTTAAAAAAAAACCCACAGTTTTACAAAGATATCGTTTCTAGATTTAACATCACCACGAAATGAAATAACAGAAAACATATTTTAACAATTCATAAGAATATGCTACTATATCTAAAAAGCTGGACAAGAAAAGGTATTTTATATGTAAAAGATTTGTTTACTATAGAAGATATGATGTATATAAATGATAAAAAATAAATGGCTGTACTTGGCAAGGGCTAATCACAGATAATCTATACAATATACCGCATAGCAGATCTGAAATACGCAGTACACTGCGCATGTGAGTTAAGGCTGGGTATAGGCGCTTCTATGCAAATAAGCTAATAAAAACGCATAAGAGGTATACTTATTATTCAGAGAGAGTTTTGATTTATTTTCTTATGCATACTTAATACCCAAGATATGTTATAGCCAGTACACATTATGACGTCATATTATGACGTCATTGTTCTTACCTACTTGATGTTATAAAACATATCAACAAAACAGCTTCGGCGTAAGGGATTACCTTATTTAATTTTACATAAAAATTGTATAATGGTAAGAAGAATATTCTATAGATTAATAAAACTACTGCACAAATCCTAGGCATTTTCTCATTTGATCGGACTTTGAGGAAACATATACGGGACTGTACATTTTTACCCTGATTCAACCTAAAACTTTTCAAATAGAAATTATACAACTGAGCTGTTGATATTTGTGCAGCAATACTAGCAATCTTTGTGATATTTTGCTTCTAAATATACCTTGTTTCAGTTAAATAAAATAGAGCATGCCCTTGCGGCGAAGCATTTTTGTTGATGTCCATTATAATTTTGTGTAGTAAAGAACAATGACGTCATAATATGACGTCATAATGTGTACTGGCTATCTCATGTCGTGGGTACCAAGTATGTATTAGACAATAAGTTTTAATTTTCCCCTTATAAAAGATATAGTCCTTAGACATTTTAATTAGTTTATTTGCATAGAAATGCCTATACCTAGCCCTAACTCACCTACGTGTACCACTTTCTTTTTGAAATTCATTTTGTACTATATGTTCTCTTTATAACAAAATACAATATTTTTATCAACATAATATGCTGCCGTAGACCTGTTTCATTTTCCTTTCAAAAAATAACTTATTTAGTCAAGACAACGAAATAAAACGAAGTTAAACAATTAAGTACTCAAAGATTTTTGAGTGGGAAAGGAAAAATTAAGTTGTAAATGTAAGGGCGACACTAGAAACACTCTGTTTTAACTCTTGGCATCTCAAGATTTTAACTTGGTTTCCGTCTAATGTTTAATTTGTATTAGTCATAAATAATCGTGAATAAATGACTAATCTTAACAACGGAAATTCCAATTTTTTGTTAAGATACTAAATTTCATAAATTTTCTCAATCTGATACATCGAAAACAAATTTTAAAATTCAATTCAAAATACGTTGTGTGTGTGTGTTAGGGTGTATGTGAGAGGGTGTGTGTGTGTGTTGGGGGGGGGGGAGGGGGGTAGTGAGGGAGGGTGTGTGAGGGTGGGTATGTTTTATCGGACTTTTAACTATAGTTTACTTACATTTATTTTAAAACATCGATCAATCACAGTTCACATTATTACATTATTGACCGAGTGTGAATTTTTCAAATCATGCTACCCAGGGGTTGGTTGGAGCCATAATAAGGGATCAATTTTTTTACATTGAAATATATAGGAAAAGTCTTCTCAAAATAACTAAACCAGAGAGTACATGTATGAAACTTAGGAAGTGAAGATTCTAAACTGTTCAACTCATGCCCCCAGGAGTAACGCGGGGCCACAATAGGGGATCAAAGTTTTAAAAGATTTTAAAAAAAATTGTAAGGAATTCAATAAATCATCAAAAAGCATACATTCCAAAGTTACGTGGATTTTCTGTCATTATCGACCTCGGGTAAGAGATGGATCATGTTAACATACAGCATTCTCAGGTGGTGGAAATCCATGTTTGTTCAAAACATGGCGCCAAGAGTAAGGTAGAACCACAAAATGAGATCAAATATTTTCATAAAAATATATATCAAAATCTTTTGAAAACATTAAGGACATAATTTAAAATATATGCATCTTCAGGATGTCAGATTCAATAGCATCCGGGGATAGGTTGGGGCCACAATAGGGGTCAAAGCATTATTTAAGAAAAAAACTTTTCAAGAGTTGCAGGTCAGCATTTAAATATTGTTAATATGCAGACGTTATTTGCTGACAAGAGTAAGCTTAGATACCCATGGGCCTCTTGTTTAATTATTGGATAATCGGGCTGGTCATCATAATTCTCCTCTGTTAAACGACAGCCTTCCTGGTATAAAAAAAAAAAAAATTAAGATCAGGAAGTAAAATGATGCGAATTAAACTAATGCGAATTAAATTGCGTTCACACGACAGCTAATGCGAAGTAAACTAATGCGAATTATAATTTTATTTCTACAGCAAGGCTATTCAGTGAGGCTATTATGACGTCATTTACAAATCACGTCATATTGTGCCCAGCAAATATACATTTGACATGATTGTCAGTGTCTGTACACATTTCAGTGTTAACACAATTTTCCTTTGTTTTCCAATCAAAAATAGCACAAGTACCTATATTTGACCATCGACATGTGGCCTGTGACTTAATTCTGCCCTTACGCATGCGTCAAAATTTAATTCGAATTAGCTTCGCTTAGCGTTCACACGAAGCTAATGCGAAGTAATTTAATGCGCAGTAAACTAATTCGAATTAAACTAATTCGCATTAAATTCTCCGTGTGAACGCGGATCAAATTTAATTCGCAGTAACTTACGTTTAATTCGAATTAAACTCTCAGTGTGAACAGGGCATTAAGTTCTTTCAACTGCAGTATCCAATTAACAATTTTATAATAGCACATGCAGTATACAACGACATTTTTACGCTACTTGGTGAAGCCAGAAGCTCCTACAATGGCACAAGTGGAAAAAAAAATCTGGGATATCTTCATGACACAGAGCATCTGGGTTTACCATTTTTTACGTATACATCAAAACATTCGTCATGATAATTAAATAATTAATTAATAGTATATCTTATTTGAAGCATTCTCTCTTGAATAATGACAGTAGCTCCGCCTTCTCTGGGTCAACGTTTGTAGAGGTTGGCATTAACAATCGTAATACTAGCTTTCCCCTTAGGAAACCCTGCCGACGGCATTCAAGAGAGTGTATGTGTGTGCGTTTAAAACAAAATAGGGCAAAAAAAAAATCCAAAGGATATTTGACAGCCTCTTTGACCCATTGCAAGAAAAGACAATATGAATTCTAGATCTCTAATTATAATCGGAATTACTTGTATTTCCATGTGCTTCTCAGGTGAGATAAAATCGATAGTCTAATATCAGTAGATATTTATTACATACGTGCATTCAAACGGAGACGAGACGTTCCTTGTTTTGGGAGGGTGGGGGTGTTATCGCGGGATGTTGAATTATTTAAAGAGACAGAAGTCTGTGAGTATGAGCGTAAAGTAACATAAAGTCTAGCCTATCTTATTGATCCGAATTTTCCTGGCGGCGAGTGATCGGTTATCGACAACGGATTAAAACGCCGCGAACAGAGAACACGTGTTGACGCATAAAAAGAACTTATATAAAAAAAGACGTTCTGTATAAGGATTTATAAGAAGATTCAAAGACGAACAGAACTTATAAAATTGTAAAACAAGTTGTATAAGAAAAGAACGAAATAAACTGTCTTTAAAAACAAGCGTAAAAAGATTGAATGACATTGTACGTTACAATAACCTCTTTTCGTATTTGTGGTAATTTATTTGACCTCCATCTATCTGACGGAGCGATTCTTTTTCACAGCCCGTCCCCTGTAGATAAATTTAGAACGAAATGGAAAGAAAAGTTGGGTTAAATAACAATGCAATTTTCTAATTTCTTTTATATTCGATTCTTACTAAAACTTTGCATTGTCAGTAGTGACACTCCTTATATACAGTGTTTGTAAAGCACAAATCGTGCTTTGTCATAAACATTGATAAACATGATAAAATCACAAAAAATTACAGACACAAAGTATCAAGGAGGAGGAAATGGACTATCCCCTTTTATTCCGAGAAAAACTAGTTTCATTTAAATTTAGATGGAAATTTTCATTTTATGCATGGCCGTTCCCAACCCATGCACATTTTTTTTTGGTTTTGATTTGTTTTGTTTTGTTTTTGTTTGTTTGTTTGATTGTTTTGTTGTTGTTGTTGAAAGAACGTGTCCACATGTACATGTACATCATTAGGGTATAAAGAGTACCATTAATTTGATTGTCGGTTGCGTATTTAAATTCCTGTAACCATTTTCAAGGCAAGTTGTTTATTGAATAGCTCCTGAAAGCGTGCCCAGTTCAGTAGTGTGAACGTCATTATAGATCGCTAACCTTTGTTCAGTTCTCTACAAACTCACTTGTATGGGGCCACAATGGGGAATCCAAGTTTGACGTAGCAATCTATAGGAAAAATCTTTAAAAAATCTTCTTCTTGAGAACCACTGGGCTAGAAAAGCTGAAAGTTTTATGGAAGCATTCTGGGGTAGAGTAGATTCTAAATTGTTCAAATCATAACCATCGGGGATAGAGTGTAGCTACAATGGGGAATCCAAGTTTTACATTGAAATATATAGGAATTTTTTTAAAAAAATCTCTTCTTCTCGAGAACCACTGGGCCAGAAAAGCTGAAAATTTTATGGAAGCATCCTGGGGTAGTGTAGATACTAAATTGTTCAAATCATGTCCCCCTGGAGTAGGGTGGGGCCACAATTGGGAATCCATGTTTTACATTGCAATATATAAGAATAATCTTTAAAAATCTTCTCAATAATCACTAGGCCAGAAAAGGTGAAACTTTTATGGAAGCATCCTTTTGTAGTGTATATTCTAAATTGTTCAAATCATGACCCCCAGGGATAGGGTGAGACCACAATTGGGAATCCAAGTTTTACATTGAAATACATAGGAACAATCTTAAACAATCTTCCTCTCAAGAACCACTGGCCCAGAAAAGCTGAAACTTATATGGAAGCATCCTGGTGTAGTGTAGATTCTAAATTGTTCAAATTATGACCCCGGGGTAGGATGGGGCCACAATACGTATTACAAGGGGGACATCTGGTGAAGAAAAGCAGGACCAAAGTTACTCAGGTGAGCGTTGTGGCCCATTGACCTCTTGTTTTTCTTTCAAATCCATGAACTATTATGCTCGTAGTAAATTAATAACTGATCACTCTTTATTTACATCTTTAGTGAGATTAAAAAGCAGGCTGTCCCCGCGTTCCTTGTAACACTGTAGTCTTAATTGTGAAATGTTCTTATCATTTTATAATTTAATGTTTGAATACAATATTTAGACAATGACTTTGATTATCCATGATCATGATACATAATTTAACCATTTTGCCCCATTTTTAGGTCACCTAAGTCAATCAGATGACCTATTGCTATTTTGTTTTTGTTGGTCATCATCTTTCATTCGTTTTTCTTCTCTTAAGAAATTTTAATCAATTTAGGCATATAGAATTAATGGCTGAAGAAGTACAACTTTTGTTAATTATCATCGTCCCTTCTCCCCCTGGATCCCGAGGAAAGGGGCTAAAACCATCAAAATAATTTGTGCTGTCTTTAAAAATTTTTACTCGTGGACATCAAGCAAGCAAACTGTTGGCATGATTGTAATAAGAATTGAGCCCCTTCCAAAGTTTTAAATTCTTGACCCCAGTATCAGGGGATCTGGAGTTTGGGTGGGACTGGAATGATCATGATGGTCATAAATTATACTAGTAGTGAATATGCATTACTTCTTTGAAATCTTCTCTCGCCCTGTATAATTAGCAGGTAAACTAGGTTCATGGCTATGCTGAGCAAGGATGCCGTTTCCAAATTTGTTAAATTTGAGGTCCAAAAAGTCAGGGGTTCTGTTATGGGAGGAGGACTCATTTGAACATTTAGTAAAAGTGCATTTTTATGCCCCAGTAATCGAAGATATATAGTTTTTTTTTCATATCCGTCAGTCTGTCTGTCTAGGTTTCTGTTTGTCCGCAAAATCTTTAACATTGCCCATAACTTTTGATTGGTTGGAGCTAAGGCTCTCTTTTTTTTAATGCTTTATTTTGAAGCCTTTTTTCATATGTATAAATACAAACACATACCACACAATTTACACCCACTTACCATCACACTTACACACACTCGGACAGTGCACTTTCTAAAATAAAATACTATACACAAATGTAGACATATGACAGTTAATCATGCAATTTATCAAACAAAAAAAAAAAAAAAAAAAAAAAAAAAAAAAAAAAAAGGATATACCAAAAGGAGAAGATATAAAAACCAAAAAAAAAAAAAAAAAACAAAAAAAAAAAAAAAAACAAAAAACAAAAAAAAAAAAAAAAAAAACAAAAAAAAAAAAAAAAAAAAACAAAACAACAACAACAACAAAAAAAACAAACAAACAAAAAAAACAAAACAAAACAAAACAAAACAAAAACATTTTTCATCACTTGTTGTATACATTATCATACAGGGCCCATTTACTAATTATTTTGTCCTTACATTGAAATATTTTTTCACAATAATTTTCTATGTTTCTGTAATATTTAAATAACCTTACAGCATCAATAAATATTGGCGTAAAACCTTGTGATCTTGAATAATAAATAATTTTTTTTGCAACTAACAGAAGAAAATTTTCTAAACAACTTCCCTTTACCAAGTAAAACAATCCTTGTGGATATTTTATAATCATTTTCAATGACATTAAACCATTGTACAAATTCATTCCAAAATTCAGTCACATATACACAGTCATAAAATACGTGAATTATTGTCTCTGTTTCACTATTACAGAATGTACATTAACTATTTTCTGACAGCTTAACTTTATAAAGAAAGGAGTTAGTAACAATAGAATTCATCAGTACTCGATATTGAAAATAAATTATTTTTGTCTCTTTTGTGCATAATGATGCATTTACAAAGTAGAATTTCCTGTTTTTTTTCTGAGATTGACTCATCTAGTAAAGTTTCCCACTTATCTTTTTTTGAAGTTGGGGCTATAAACTCCTTTTCTTTCATGATATGATACAAAAAATTAACATTATTTGTTGATAACAATTTTTGTACAAGACATATTTCTGGTTCAGTATTTTCAGGAATTCTATTTTCTTTAAAAGGAATGAGTTTTCTTTTAATTTTTGAGGGTATATTTAAAATCAGATGAAAATAGTTTAAATAATTATTAGTACCAAGTACATCTTTTATTTCATTGAAACATTTTATTTTCCCATTTTCCGACACTAGGTCGTTCAGGTTCTTAACACCTTTTTCAACCCATTTTGTATAAAATTCCAACTTTTTGACATCCACAAAATTTCCAATATTTAAGTACAAATAATCTAATACATGTACAGGACTTCAATGCTTTTATTACATGTACATCTTTCCAAAAATTATTATCAATGATTTTAACAAATTCTTGAAGATTCCCTTTAGATAAATAAAAAATGAAATCAACACTTTTAAGTTTGAAAATACAATGTAGCAAATGTTGCCATGCACCTTCAGTTTTGGTCAGATACCTCTTTACCCATTTTAACTTGATATATGAAATGAAAGATGAAAAGTGTAGCATATTTAAACCACCATCCTCATATCTCCCGATAAATGTATTTCTTTTAACCTTTTCTGACTTGTATCCCCAAATGAATTTGAAAAATGTTTTGTTTATTTCATCCAAAAGATCTTTTGGGGAGTCCGGCAGTGCAGAAAATAAGTATATAAGCTTAGGGAGAGTTAAAGTTTTGATAATTGTGATTTTCCCTAGTGGTGTTAAATCTCTTTTTGTCCATGATCCTAACAATCTCTTAATAGAGGTAATTTTTGTTTGAAAATTACTTGTAATCATATCCTCAAGGTTATTAGTGAAAAGTTATTCCAAGAAGTTTAAAACTATCTTTTCCCCAACCAATTTCCAAATCTGTACACAAAGTTTCTGCTGAACCTGTTTTACTTCCTAACCACACTGCCTGTGATTTAGATATATTAAGTTTCAATCCCGATACACTACCAAATTTATCAATAACACTCATTGATTCTCTTAGAGACGATTCACTTCCATCCAGTAGTAAATATGAATCATCTGCATATTGCCCCAATTTGTTTTCTTTCCCCCTCAATAATAATACCTTTAATGTTTACATTTTTCTTGAGTGAAATTGCTAGTAATTCAAGCGTGATGATAAACAAATATGGAGCTAAAGGATCTCCTTGTCTGCAACCCCTCTGAAGACTAAAAAAAATCTGATAAATGGGCATTATTT